CATGGTCTCGCTCTTGCTCAGGCTGGTCTTGAACTCCCAAGCTCAAATGATCCTTCTGCCTCGGCCTCCCAGAGTGCTGGGATCACAGGCATTAGCCACCATGCCTGGCCAATCACAGGTTTCTTATCTTCTTATCTGCTTTATTTCTTCTGAACCTTCCTTCTCTCATGTTGGTCTGAGCTCTATTTCTCCAATTTTCCTGGCCATTGAGTTCCTTTCTAGTTTTTTCTTGTTCCCCAGTGTAGACCTTGCGGTCTGCTTCTTTGACACTGTTTTTGCTGTCTCCTGTAGAATTTCATGTCACTGAGTGTTTTGTGTTGAATATAATTCAGGTCTCTATTCCCTAGGGTTTCCATTGCTTGGTTTCTCTGTTTCTAGTACTGTTAGAAAAAGTACTAGAGATGATTGTATTATATATCTATCACAATTTTAATTCTGTCTGACTTCAATTGGTTATCCATTATTATTTATCTGTCTTCATATTAGCTTCTTGTTAATTTCTAATTGAAGCCCCATTGTGGAATCTCTTCATTATATTCAGTATCTAATTAGTGTCTCTTCTCTTCCTTCTAGGAAAGGTCTTTTTATTCTTCAGTAGTGGGTAGTGATGTCACCTATACTTCACTTCTCTGCTTTGCATATTCCAAAAGAAAAAATAGTCTTACTCTTTCCCAAGGTTAGACAAACACTTGACCCGTGATGTTTCCTTTGAGATTGTGACCTCACTCTTCTACCCTCCAGCAGCCCTCACCTTTTTTGTGAATTCATCTAAACTTCCTACCTAGTTCTTCCCCGCCCCCACCTAATCTTTCTATCTTTCTTGATAGACAGCTGTAGTCCTGCTTTTCTTTCCTTTTGAGGTGCCAATTAGATGTCTTTCTGGTACTCCACTTCAGCATGGCTAAGACTGTCCTCTTTTCTCCCCAAACCCATCTCTTTATCTGATTTTTATTTATTTATTTATTTTTTTGAGACAGTCTTAAGCTGTTGTCCTGGGTAGAGTGTCGTGGTGTCACAGCTCACAGCAACCTCAAACTCTTGGGCTTAAGCGATTCTCTTGCCTCAGCCTCCCAAGTAGTTGGGACTACAGGCACCCGAAACAAGGCCCAGCTACTTTTTTTGTTGCAGTTGTCATTGTTTTAGCTGGCCCAGGCTGGGTTTGAACCTGCCAGCCTCGGTGCATGTGTCTGGTGCCTTAACCACTGAGCCACGGGTGCCAAGCCTCCAGTTTCACTCTTTTAGTTATTTCAGTATACCCTAATATATTGTTGATTCTAGTCATTTTGTTATCAAATATTGTTCATTCTATCTAACGGTATTTTTGCACCCATTAACCATGCCCACATTATCCCTCTTCCTCGCTACCCTTCCTAGCCTCTAGTAACCACATTTTACTTTCTATCTCCATGAGATCAATTGTTTTTAATATTTAGCTCCCTTACATGAGTGAGGACATATGAGATTTTTCTTTCTTTCTTTTCCTCCCACCCCCCGCCCCCACCCTATTCCCTGAGCAGAGTACAATGGCATCGTAGCTCACTGCAACCTTAGAATCGGGCTTTGGGCATCTGGCTGCCTCAGACTCCAGAAGCCACTGGGATTACAGGCGCTCACCAAGGCG